TTGGCTGCTACAGACCACTCTGGACAGCTTATTTCCCCTTATGACATCACAAAGGGAATGTTATTTAAACAGACCATTTTGAGCACACATTGGCTAAGAGGTGGATAAAGGCAATGAAAGAGGTGAAAAGATTCTTTTCATTTTCTAAATCTCATACACAGGCTTCAGGACCCATATGACGGTTAAATGTTTAAAATGCTAATGTTGCATAATATAGGACCTTTTAACAATAAACATAAAAATACAATATATAGATGTTATAGGTTATAGATGAGATTCAAATTTGCACATAATTTCCTAGAATAGCACAGATTCACCTTTTCTGACAAATGTGTTGAGTTATGTGCATTAAAGGGAAAGGGAAATATATAAAAGCCAGCAAATTAAAATAAGTCTAAAGCTGCGGCCTCTCTAATGTGCAGTGGAAGGCTACTTCGCAAATAAGAAGCAGTGACAGAGAAGTCATCATGAAGCTACAGGTCAGGTCACACTTTAGCCTGAGTTATAAGAATCTCTGTAAAAATCAGCTGTGTCATTTTAAATCACAGATCCTAATGCAGCATTTCTCATCCAGCCAGAATCCTGGATACAGCGGCTCTGTGAAATTGGCCTTCAGTTTGTACAGAAATGTCATGCTGTCCGACACCTCAAAGAAGGACAGACTTCCCTCCTTGAATTCTAGATAAACGCCTATCTTTTTACTGCTGGGCCTTTGTTCTAGCTTTATGCTTTCTGTTTTGTGGCTCACAGAGTAGGACTTAGAGAGATCTAGACTCCAGGACTTTTCGTTGGCTCCAAAAGCTGACTTTTTTGTACTACTTTTCCTATCCAACCCTTTGTAAGCAAGAGCGATCTCTGCCTTGCCTCCCTTGACCTCCACTTCATAGTAGCAGCGCTCAGCCTGCAGACCCTCCCTGCACATCACCTGGCGTCGACTGATGAACCTCTCTGGAAAACATGCAGATGGGATTTGGCACCCATGGGGGGACAGCTTCACCTCTTTGTCATCATCAGAGATGATCAGGTCCCTATGAGCTGTTGCAGGGTCCAGAGAGAGCTCACAGGCATCTGGGTAATGAAAGAGAGGAAAATGATAAAGTTTCAGGAACAGAAAGTCAGGGGAGAACATTGAGATCTGAGGATGAACTCACACTGTAGAAAATCTTCTCTGGTTTTAGGCTCCATGTTCTTCTTACCCATGTTGCCTTCAGAGAGACCTTTGAGGAGGCATTACACAACATGATTATTGGCTGAATGCTGCCCTCTTGTGTTGAACAGTACATTGCAAAAAGAAAACAGGAAAGTTTACAAACCAGCACTAGATTGATGTTTCTGCTGCTGATCCTCTGCATCCCTCTTTTCCACTGATTCCTCCTGATCATTAAAGCCTTTGACAGAGAAACAGGGATCAGTTTGTCAAATACATGGATTTTACATATATATGTATATGTATATATATATATATATATATATATATATATATATATATATATATATATATATATATATATATATATATATATATATATATATATATATATATATATATATATATATATATATATATATATATATATATATATATATATATATATATATTCTATATTAACAGCACATACAAGTTTTAAAGATTAAGGGAAGTTGTTGGTCACAGAAGTCTCCCAGCTTCTCTCCAAGCTGATCTATTGCTCTATTTGTAACTTAAAAAGAGAAAAGTGGATCCTTTGATCCCTCGCTGAAGGAAAGAAGGTCTTTCTCACATATGCTTTGCATGTTGATCCATTCCTGGGGGAAGGAACAGGTTTTAATGCAGAGGGAGGTTTCGACAACAACACAGGTAAATGTCTCACCAATGTAAATTACTTTACCTGCAGAAAAAGCACGCTGTTTTCACTCTCTGCAAGGCGATCAAGCTCAGCATCCATCTTTTTAATTTCCTCCATCTTTGTCTCAAGGTTTTGAAGCGTGATGTCGATCTGATCTTCCACTGTCTTTGCTTGAGTTTCAATCATCTCCCTCATAGACATGCAATGTCTCTGAAGATGATCAATGGCTCTAACTATGATCGTTTCACAGTCCTCCATCATTTTGTTGGCCTCCTTCTGTTTTAAACCCAGCAGAACAGGATTAGCGTCACTTATGAGCTGGCAGCGTGCAAACACAATTAACCGACAGGGTTTCCTCACCTCTATTTGATCAAATATCTTCTTTATATTCTCCTGCTGCTTCTGCTGCTCCTGAAGTCTCTCCCTCAGCCTTGTTTGCATGGTCCTCAGCTCCTCCTTGGAACATACAGAATAAGTCTTTATTTATACCAAAACCATTTTTTTCCTAATGTATAATAGTTTGTCTTTCCACCAATCAGTCTGCACATTCATTAAATGATGTTTTCATTTTTTCTCTTTGAAATCATACTTTTGGTCTTTGTTTTGTTTTCTTATAAATGACAAGTCAGACCTCTGTGCATATGGATCTTATAGGCAGCTGCACAGGGTGCCCATATGTAACTCATGTAATCAGTGTAAAGTTGCAATTTCAATTAAATAAACTATTCAGTTTCAAGATTGAATAACTTTAAACTCAGTTTAAAACACTGAGCTACACTAAGATAAACAGTTTATGGACTTATAAGGGCACCAACCTCCACCACATTTGCTCCGTCATTCTCCTCTGCTCTTTGATCCGGCTGGGTATCCAAACTGTCCTTTACCCCAAAGAATCGTCTTATATCAACCTTAATTAAATGAAGAGATACCACAATAAAAACAGTTGATATTTAGTTGGAGAAAAAAAAACACTTTTCCAGCATGCTACATCAAATTAAAACTACATATGGTGTTCATAAAATGATACATCCATGTTTTTGTTTAGATTAATCTGAGTATTTTATTCAGGAGAAGTTCATGTCTTAAAATCCATTCATTTATAAAGAGGAGTAAGTAAGAAGAACAATTTAAAAAGGACTGAATCTGTTGTGTGTTTGCTTGTATCTAGTCCTTTGTTTCAACATCCTGTACCTGTTTCCTTCTCGGCTCGTCCTTCACCAAACCACTGATGTGTCCATTGTGCTTGTCTGAGACACACAGAGCACAAATGATCTTCTCATCTCTGAAGTAGTAAATATTTAATGTAGAGTTGTGAAGCCCATACTAACCTTTCCCTGGTGTGTCTGCTGTTCTCTGGTCTCTCAGGGACTCAGCTGATTCTGGCGATTTTCTTTTCCTGCTCGAACTCCACTCTGTGTCTCTCAGCACATCAGTCAGAGTTGTGTTCTTGACCAAATTGGGTCTGGAGGGAAAGATCTCTCCACATTCTGGGCAGCTGAGGTCCCTCTGCTCCGCGCCCCAGTGGCCCTTGATACAGCCCATGCAGAAGTTGTGTCCACAAAGGATGGTTGCAGGATTCTCGAAGAGTTTCCCGCAGATCCGACAGGAGAGGTGGTTAATTCGGACAGGAATGTGAAGCTCTGCCATGTTTGTGTGAAGGAAAAACGGCGGGCTTTGTTACACAAGCTTTGTTTCGTTTCCTGCAAAATGACTCAGAGTTGTAGTGCTTTTGATTCGTCCATTTCAAAGTGGAGAAAGGGCGTTACATTTCCAAAAGGAAGAGCTATAAAATTAGGTGGATTTCATGTTCTCTAACAGAACCCTGAGGCCTTCACAGAGCAGCTTTATGTGACTCCTGAAGGAAACCGGTTGCATAAAAGAATGTGTTTTAAGACAAAAAGGGTCTTCACACTTTTTGTTATATCTCCATTTTTTGGATATATTCCAATTCTCCATGAAAATTTCATCTTCCCAGTGACAACTTTGACATTAACTGGAGGCAATGGAATCAGTGACATCTGAAACCTTAGAATGGGAACTATCAACCAGCTCATCTATAACATTGCTTTTGATAAGTAAATCAGTGGAAAAAGCCTAGGTCTAGCCCAAATCACCACAACAGAAGCCAGAACAGGTAGCTATACTACCACTTTTAAGGATTTTTAACACTGTAATGTGTTGTTTATAAAATTAATAGTTTAAACCAGTTGTTTACATTCTCAGTTTAAAAAAAAGAGAATGTATTGTGATTCAATGTGATTCCAAAAAAGTAAAAAAAAACAAAGGCCTTGTTATGGCTTGGAAAACACATTTTCATTCATTCATTTTTATTTATTTATTTTTTACATTTTCCTGCTTGCTAGTTGATTCAATTTAAGAAAATATGCACCAATTCTTATAAATAGAAAGCAATCTATTTGCATGGAACCATTCATACAGAAGGCAATCCAAAGTGTTTTATTTGATAGCAAAGCGAGAATGGAAAGGAAATAATAAAGCATAAATTGCATGCAAAAGAAAGAATTTGAAATGCAAATAATTGTGCCCAAAGCACATAACAGTGGCAACAACAAAACCTGTCTTACAACACTGAGGAGCTAAAACATCTCAAAAAGCAAAATCTTATTCCCTGATGGAAGAAAAATAATGGACAGATGAGGAATGTGATCAAATATATCTATTAGTATGGAAATGATAATTGAACCATTTCTTTCCTGTGACACTAGCAGAGGAAATTTGTCATAGGGATCACTGCTTTACTTTAATGCATGATTCTGCATGACTGAGGCTAGTCCCTCACACCTTACTGTGTTCTATTAAACAAAACTACAATAAAATTAGATGTGCTTCTATAGTGCAAAACAGCTTCAAGTTTAATTTAACTGCTCAACATTTCCAAATAAAACTTCTTTTTTTGGTGTTATACTGAAGGAAGATATTCAGATTTGTCAACCTGATGTTTCATGAGGGTCAGATGGAATTCCTGCTATCCTGAAATTGATTTTAAATACTCATGCTGTAAATAGATTACATTTTGAAAAAATAAAATAAACTCAATTAACAAGCTGTAACTGAGCTCAGTGATCTCCACTCAACCAGCACTTTATTAATTCTTGCTAGAATAGTTTATAGAAGAAGTGACAGAGTAGATATTCCATCTCTGCTCTGCTCAACTGAGGAAAAGGTTGTTTTAATGCAATCAGATAACAGTGCAGCCTTTGAGAGTCATTCCCCTGCTTCTCTCTCTCTCTCAAAGACTTAACAGGTTTGGCCATAACAAGGCCTTTAGCTGTGGAAAACAAAACCACCCAGAAAACAACACACAAATAAATGAATCAAAAAAAAAAACAGAACAAAGAACATACAGAAAATACAGAAAAAAGGAAAGTAACAATAGTCAGTGACATTATTCTATTTTGTTCAGGATTTTTTCATGTTTTTGTTTTGACCAAGTTCAACAGCAGCACAAAGTACAAGATGCAAACAAGCAATTGCATTTAAAAAACAGATCAAATATAAAAATACAACATTTAGACATTACAGGTGCAAGATAAGATTAAAAAATGCAGATCATTCCAACTGTCGGTCATAGTAGAACAGAATCATTTTTCATTTAAAATGCTTTTGATTCTGTGCATTAAAGAACACAATGTAAAACAGATAAAGTTTACATAACTTTATTCTTTTTAATTGTTTGGGTCCTTTAAATTAGACCATTTCTCAGAGTCATCAGGGAGCATAAACAAAACCATCTATCATGAAGCTACAGGTCAGGTCACACTTAGCCTAGGTGATCAGTCTCTGTTAAAATCAGCTGTGTCATTTTAAATCACAGATCCTAATGCAGCATTTCTCATCCAGCCAGAATCCTGGATACAGCGGCTCTGTGAAATTGGCCTTCAGTTTGTACAGAAATGTCATGCTGTCCGACACCTCAAAGAAAGACAGACTTCCCTCCTTGAATTCTAGATAAACACCTATTTTTTTACTGCTGGGCCTTTGTTTGAGGAGGATGCTCTCTGATTTGTGGCTCACAGAGTAGGACTTAGAGAGATCTAGACTCCAGGACTTTTCGTTGGCTCCAAAAGCTGACTTTTTTGTACTACTTTTCCTATCCAACCCTTTGTAAGCAAGAGCGATCTCTGCCTTGCCTCCCTTGACCTCCACTTCATAGTAGCAGCGCTCAGCCTGCAGACCCTCCCTGCACATCACCTGGCGTCGACTGATGAACCTCTCTGGAAAACATGCAGATGGGATTTGGCACCCATGGGGGGACAGCTTCACCTCTTTGTCTCCATCAGAGATGATCAGGTCCCTATGAGCTGTTGCAGGGTCCAGAGAGAGCTCACAGGCATCTGGGTAATGAAAGAGAGGAAAATGATAAAGTTTCAGGAACAGAAAGTCAGGAGAGCACATTGAGATCTGAGGATGAACTCACACTGTAGAAAATCTTCTCTGGTTTTAGGCTCCATGTTCTTCTTACCCATGTTGCCTTCAGAGAGACCTTTGAGGAGGCATTACACAACATGATTATTGGCTGAATGCTGCCCTCTTGTGTTGAACAGTACATTGCAAAAAGAAAACAGGAAAGTTTACAAACCAGCACTAGATTCACGTTTCTGCTGCTGATCCTCTGCATCCCTCTTTTCCACTGATTCCTCTTGATCATTAAAGCCTTTGACAGAGAAACAGTGATCAGTTTGTCAAATACATGGATTTTACATATATATATATTCTATATTAACAGCACATACAAGTTTGAAAGATTAAGGGAAGTTGTTGGTCACAGAAGTCTCCCAGCTTCTCTCCAAGCTGATCTATTGCTCTCTTTGTAACTTTAAAAGAGAAAAGTGGATCCTTTGATCCCTCGCTGAAGGAAAGAAGGTCTTTCTCACATATGCTTTGCATGTTGATCCATTCCTGGGGGAAGGAACAGGTTTTAATGCAGAGGGAGGTTTCGACAACAACACAGGTAAATGTCTCACCAATGCAAATGACTTTACCTGCAGAAAAAGCACGCTGTTTTCACTCTCTGCAAGGCGATCAAGCTCAGCATCCATCTTTTTAATTTCCTCCATCTTTGTCTCAAGGTTTTGAAGCGTGATGTCGATCTGATCTTCCACTGTCTTTGCTTGAGTTTCAATCATCTCCCTCATAGACATGCAATGTCTCTGAAGATGATCAATGGCTCTAACTATGATCGTTTCACAGTCCTCCATCATTTTGTTGGCCTCCTTCTGTTTTAAACCCAGCAGAACAGGATTAACCTCCCTTATGAGCTGGCAGCGTGCAAACACAATGAACCGACAGGGTTTCCTCACCTCAATTTGATCAAACGTCTTCTTCATATTCTCCTGCTGCTTCTGCTGCTCCTGAAGTCTCTCCCTCAGCCTTGTTTGCATGGTCCTCAGCTCCTCCTTGGAACATACAGAATAAGTAAGCATTTTATTTACACAGAAAAAACTTTTTTTCTAATGTATAATGGTTTCTTTTAAAAAATCCATCCATCCATTTTTTTAACACGCTTACTCCCAAGTCGGAGAGAGTCCACGCATGCTCAGGGAGAACATGCAAACTCCATGCAAAAATCAAACCCAGAACCTTCTTGCTGTAAGGCAGCAGTGCTACCCACTACTCCACCAAGCAGCCCCTTTAAAAAAAAACAGTTTGCATATTCATTGAAGGATGTTTCCATTGGTGCCGTTTGCATTTATTTATTTTGTCCTTTTTTGCTAAAACAAGGCTATATAGGTACACTATATTGCCAAAAGTATTTGCTCACCTGCCTTGACTCACATATGAGCTTAAGTGACATCCCGTTCCTAATCCATAGGGTTCAATATGACGTTGGTCCACCCTTTGCAGCTAGAACAGCTTCAACTCTTCTGGGAAGGCTGTCCACAAGGTTTAGGAGTGTGTTTATGGGAATTTTTGACCATTCTTCCAGAAGCGCATTTGTGAGGTCGCACACTGATGTTGGACGAGAAGGCCTGGCTCTCAGTCTCCGCTCTAATTCATCCCAAAGGTGTTCTATCGGGTTGAGGTCAGGACTCTGTGCAGGCCAGTCAAGTTCATCCACACCAGACTCTGTCATCCATGTCTTTATGGACCTTGCTTTGTGCACTGGTGCACAGTCATGTTGGAAGAGGAAGGGGCCAGCTCCAAACTGTTCCCACAAAGTTGGGAGCATGGAATTGTCCAAAATGTCTTGGTATGCTGAAGCATTCAGAGTTCCTTTCACTGGAACTAAGGGGCCAAGCCCAGCTCCTGAAAAACAACCCCACACCATAATCCCCCCTCCACCAAACTTTACACTTGGCACAATGCAGTCAGACAAGTACCGTTCTCCTGGCAACCGCCAAACCCAGACCCGTCCATCAGATTGCCAGATGGAGAAGCGCGATTCGTCACTCCAGAGAACGCGTCTCCACTGCTCTAGAGTCCAGTGGCGGCGTGCTTTACACCACCGCATCCGATGCTTTGCATTGCACTTGGTGATGTATGGCTTGGATGCAGCTGCTCGCCCATGGAAACCCATTCCATGAAGCTCTCTGCGCACTGTTCTTGAGCTACATGAAGTTTGGAGGTCTGTAGTGATTGACTCTGCAGAAAGTTGGCGACCTCTTCGCACTATGCGCGTCAGCATCCGCTGACCCCGCTCCGTCAGTTTACGTGGCCTACCACTTCGTGGCTGAGTTGCTGTCGTTCCCAAACACTTCCATTTTCTTATAATACAGCTGACAGTTGACTGTGGAATATTTAGGAGCGAGGAAATTTCACGACTGGATTTGTTGCACAGGTGGCATCCTATCACAGTTCCACGCTGGAATTCACTGAGCTCCTGAGAGCGACCCATCTTTCACAAATGTTTGTAAAAACAGTCTGCATGCCTAGGTGCTTGAATTTATACACCTGTGGCCATGGAAGTGATTGGAACACCTGATTCCAATAATTTGGATGGGTGAGCAAATACTTTTGGCAATATAGTGTAGCTGCCCAGGACGCCATGTCAAAAATAGCACCTACTTATCTAACCAGCTGTGCCCGGAGCACATTTTCTTTTCTTTTGATATTTGTCTATTCAGTGATAGAGCAGGAAGAAGACAATCTCAGCTTTTTATAGCTGGGTGTGTTTTCTATCAATCACACTGTTGCCATGTGGAGAATTTGCCTGTTTGTTGTGTTTAACATGCAAATATAGCCGGCGAGACAAACTGACATTTCTATTATACACCAAAAGGGAAATCCAGCTCCACCTTAAGTGAATTGCTTGAGTTGATGACAAGTAATTGAATTAAGTTTGCCCAACTTAATTAATTTAAGGTTTTAAACTTATGAACTTCATCAACTAAGTTGGATCAGCTGTCCTAAAGATGTCCTGAAAAAAGTTATTTCTTTAGAGTACATTTTAAAAATATCTATAGGAGTTTATTCTGTTAGCAATAAACAATAATAACTCTCTGATCTGTCTCTGTAATCTTGGTTAATAGCTGCATCAAATTGCTGTAAGTTTACAGTAACGGTCTCTTTGATTATAGAAACATTTACCAGAAACCTTAAGTGAACAGAAAAGTTTAAGTGAACATTTAAGAAGGCTCATACTAAGGATCAAGTCCTTTGTTTTCATATCCTGTACCTGTTTCCTTCTCCGCTCTTCCTTCACCAAACCAATGATGTGTCCATTGTGCTTGTCTGAGGCACACAGAGCACATATGATCTTCTCATCTGTGATGCAGTAAATATCCTGTGGAGTTTTGTGAAGCCAACACAAACCATTCCCTAAAGTGTCTGCTGTTCTCTGGTCTCTCAGGGACTCAGCTGATTCTTGCGATTTTCTTTTCCTGCTCATACTCCTCTCTGTGTCTCTCAGCACATCAGTCAGAGTTGTGTTCCTGATCAAATTTGGTCTGGAGGGAAAGATCTTTCCACATTCCGGGCAGCTAAGGTTCCTCTGCCCCTCGTCCCAGTGGCCCTCGATACAACCTATGCAGAAGTTGTGTCCACAAGGGATGGTTGCAGGATTCCTGAGAAGGTTCCTGCAGATCCGACAGGAGAGGTAATTAATTCTGACAGGAATGTGAAGCTCTGCCATGTTTGGGTGGAGGAAAAAAGGGCGGGCTGTTACACAAGCTTTGTTTCGTTTCCTGCAAAATGACTCAGAGTTGTAGTGCTTTTGATTCGTCCATTTCAAAGTGGAGAAAGGCGTGACTAAATTATTTGAATTCAATTCAATTTATATAGCGCCAATTCACAACACGTCGTCTCAAGGTACATTACAGTTCACCAGATAATACAGTTTAATTGATTCAAAGTTTTCTATCTAAGGAAAACCAGTTGATTGCATCGACTTATTGACTTGAATGCAATCCCTCACAATCAATTCCAAAAAGAAGAGCTATAAAATGAGGTGGATTTAATGCTCTCTAATAGACCTCTGAGGCCTTCACAGAGCAGCTTTATGTGACTCCTGAAGGCAACTTGTTGCATAAAAGAATATTTCAGACAAAAAGGGCCCACATACAAATGTAGGTCACACTTTTTTTCATTTGTATGTTTTCCTTTCTTTTTCATAATTATGCAATACTTTGTGTTGATCTGCCAAATTAAATCCAAAGGAAATCCATTAAGGTTTGTGATGTTGACAAAAGATGAGCTGTTGTCATTGCTTTACCAGCAAAAAAAAGAAAATATTTTTCAGAGTAGCCAAAAGCTGACATAAAAGTAGTTATGCTGCTATAGGCTTAGACTACTGGAGGACATGGGGATCCCTTTTTTCCACATTCTGCTTCATTCTATCTCTATTCTGCAATATTTGTTAGTTAAATCTGTAACATTATGCTGTCTATGCTTTTTCTCATAATAGTTTCATCTGGTCTGTTCCTGTGTGGCTGTGTCTACATCCTGGATACAAATATCAGCTTTGTTGCTGCAATCAAAACTTTGTATATTAATGTTGGAGCTTGTCCGGTCTTTCAGTGTAGTTATGGTTTTCTGAACTGGATGTGCTCCCTTCATCCTCTGACATGGGAGCTGGCTCGGAGATCGTCTGCCTGGCTGTGTGAAAGAAAACTTTGAATCAATTTGACAGTATGATCTTGTTGAATTGGCCTTCCACGCCGGCGGCGGACATCGTCCCCCGGGAGACTGGCACCGTCACGCCCGAAGGCGCAGCGGACACGAGCCGCCGCAAGACGGGCCGCCCACCGGGCTTCCGGCGGCGGAGAGAGAAGGGCGACGGGGCGACTGCTCCCCCAGCCGCGGCACGTGCCCAGCCCCGCTTCGCACCCCAGCCCGACCGACCCAGCCCTTAGAGCCAATCTTTAGTTTGGCACCCGCTTTGGGCTGCATTCCCAAACAACCTGACTCCTAGAAGACCGAGCCCCGGCGCGATGGGCGCCGTTACCGGCCTCACACCGTCCACGGGCTGAGCCTTGATCAGGAGGACTCAGGCCCCCGAGCGACACTGGGCAAAGCGGTCTTCTGTACGCCCCATTTTCCACGCCCGCCGGTCGGACGGGGATTCAGCGCTGGGCTCTTCCCTCTTCGCTCGCCGCTACTGATGGAATCCTGGTTAGTTTCTTTTCCTCCGCTTAGTAATATGCTTAAATGCAGCGGGCTGTCTCCTTTGATCTGAGGTCGCAGTTGAATGGAGCAGAGGCCCCCAGCGCCGCCACGGCCTCCCTTCGGAGGTCGCCACGGAAACACGGGGGCCAGCTGCGTGGCTCCGTAGGGGCGGGTAGCTCCCACTGAGGCTCACGTCGAGCTCGGAGAAAGGCGACCGGGTTCCCCGAAGTCTGCGCTCCCTTTCCGATTGATTGCAAAACGACCCCCGGAAGGGCCCGTCCCACATGGGTTTTGGATTTGATAAATGCACGTACACTATATTGCCAAAAGTATTTGCTCACCTGCCTTGACTCACATATGAGCTTAAGTGACATCCCGTTCCTAATCCATAGGGTTCAATATGACGTCGGTCCACCCTTTGCAGCTAGAACAGCTTCAACTCTTCTGGGAAGGCTGTCCACAAGGTTTAGGAGTGTGTTTATGGGAATTTTTGACCATTCTTCCAGAAGCGCATTTGTGAGGTCGCACACTGATGTTGGACGAGAAGGCCTGGCTCTCAGTCTCCGCTCTAATTCATCCCAAAGGTGTTCTATCGGGTTGAGGTCAGGACTCTGTGCAGGCCAGTCAAGTTCATCCACACCAGACTCTGTCATCCATGTCTTTATGGACCTTGCTTTGTGCACTGGTGCACAGTCATGTTGGAAGAGGAAGGGGCCAGCTCCAAACTGTTCCCACAAAGTTGGGAGCATGGAATTGTCCAAAATGTCTTGGTATGCTGAAGCATTCAGAGTTCCTTTCACTGGAACTAAGGGGCCAAGCCCAGCTCCTGAAAAACAACCCCACACCATAATCCCCCCTCCACCAAACTTTACACTTGGCACAATGCAGTCAGACAAGTACCGTTCTCCTGGCAACCGCCAAACCCAGACCCGTCCATCAGATTGCCAGATGGAGAAGCGCGATTCGTCACTCCAGAGAACGCGTCTCCACTGCTCTAGAGTCCAGTGGCGGCGTGCTTTACACCACCGCATCCGACGCTTTGCATTGCACTTGGTGATGTATGGCTTGGATGCAGCTGCTCGACCATGGAAACCCATTCCATGAAGCTCTCTGCGCACTGTTCTTGAGCTAATCTGAAGGCCACATGAAGTTTGGAGGTCTGTAGTGATTGACTCTGCAGAAAGTTGGCGACCTCTTCGCACTATGCGCGTCAGCATCCGCTGACCCCGCTCCGTCAGTTTACGTGGCCTACCACTTCGTGGCTGAGTTGCTGTCGTTCCCAAACACTTCCATTTTCTTATAATACAGCTGACAGTTGACTGTGGAATATTTAGGAGCGAGGAAATTTCACGACTGGATTTGTTGCACAGGTGGCATCCTATCACAGTTCCACGCTGGAATTCACTGAGCTCCTGAGAGCGACCCATTCTTTCACAAATGTTTGTAAAAACGGTCTGCATGCCTAGGTGCTTGAATTTATACACCTGTGGCCATGGAAGTGATTGGAACACCTGATTCCAATAATTTGGATGGGTGAGCAAATACTTTTGGCAATATAGTGTATCTGCCAATCATACTCTGCCCGCTCGAGAGGCCTCTTCCTTGGGTAGGCTGCTGGGGAAGCCCCCCTGACCTCCAGGAATCTGATTCTGAGTTAAATAGGCACATTTCCTCCAGGGTCACAGGTTATTCATCCACAAAGCACACCCCCTGAGCCCGCCTGCAACAGCTTACCTCCCTGGAGGAATACTGGTTCCAGGGGGGTCTCTGCCACTCGTGCTCTGCCCGCCTGAGAGGCCTCCTCTTCGGGCAGGCTGCTGGGGAAGCCCCTTGACCTCCAGGAATCTGGTTCTGTGGTAAAAAGGCACATTTCTTCCAGGGCCACAGGTTATTCATCCACAAAGCACACCCCCTGAGCCCGCCTGCAAAAGCCCTAGGGTTAGGGTTAGATAGGCACATTTCCTCCAGGGTCGGAGGTTATTTACCCACAAAGCACACCCCCTGAGCCCACCTGCAAAAGCCCTAGCTCCCAATACATTCCTGGAGCCGGTTCCAGGGGGTCTCTCCCATGCACTTCCTATCCGCCCAAGGGGCCTCCCCGGTTATGCAGACCACCGACACACCTCCCTGGGGAACAGCTAGCACCAGGCGGGCCTGGGGACCCACCCTTAAGCACCCCCCCACGGACTAAACCAAGTAGAACGCACCTGCAAACTGTCTGGAGCCCTGGTACAGCAGTGGGACTTAGAAAAATTTCCGAGCCGGAGCCCTGGTACAGCGGTGGGACACTGAAAAATTTCAGAGCTGGACCCCTGGTACAGCGGCGGGACTTAGAAAAAAAAAATTCAGGGACCCCTGGTACTACCCTGGGTGCCAGTCCGAACTTAGTCCCGCCCACAAGGTTTGAGTTCGGGGAAGTTCGGTCTGGCTCTGCTCCATAGTAGCGCGAGTATTATCGCCCACTGTCAGGCGATCCAATCAAATTGTCAGGGCGGGCTTTATACGATGATGGACAGATGATCAAGAGTAACGTAATCAACCACGTGACCAATGCGCGCTTGGGTGACAAAAATAATGGCTGCCGCTGGAGAGTTTGGGTGAGTAGATTCTGCTATTAGGTCTGTTCTAATAGATATCGACAGCAAATTAATTTTAAAAGAGGAACAGAGAAACGCGATCAAGTCTCATCTTCTTATTCTAGGCGTGAAACTGCACGCTTTGATTTTTGTGGACAACAACTATCCCTCGCTTAACATACGTCACGCACTCCGTTGCTCTTATTGGTTGTACGTCTATCCAATTGAGTGCAGAGGCATTTTTTTTTCCTGGTTCGTTCGAAACACGCCCCATAATCACAGCTCTATGGAGCAGTATCAGACTCATATTCTGACTAGAATTGAGTCGGACTACGTCAGGCTACCCTGGTACAGCAGTGGGACTTAGAAAAATTTCCGAGCCGGAGCCCTGGTACAGCGGTGGGACTTAGAAAAAATTCAGGGACCCCTGGTACAACGGTGAGACTTAGAAAAAATTCAGGGACCCCTGGTACAGCAGTGGGACTTAGAAAAATTTCCGAGCCGGAGCCCTGGTACAGCGGCGGGACACTAAAATTTCAGAGCTGGACCCCTGGTACAGCGGCAGGACTTGGAAAAATTTCACCCTAATACCCCCATTAGCCGTGGTCACCATGGTAGGCATGTAGCGTACCATCGAAAGTTGATAGGGCAGATATTCGAAAGAGACGTCGCCGCCACGGAGGACCAGCGACCGGCTCGGGGTTATCTAGAGTCATCAAAGCGGCCCGGAGCGGGCCCCTGGAAGGGCCCATCCCGCATGGGTTTTGGATCTGATAAATGCACGTATTCCCGGGGGTCAGCGCTCGTTTGCATGTATTAGCTCTAGAATTGCCACAGTTATCCAAGTAACGGTGGAGCGATCAAAGGAACCATAACTGGTTTAATGAGCCATTCGCAGTTTCACTGTACAGTCCCGTGTGTACTTACACTTGCATGGCTTTGAGACAAGTCTCCCTT